ATTCCGCAAGTATTTTGTCAATCAAGAAAATTTACAGAATGAAAAAGGTAAAAACGCAAACTTGCGATTTCACTGACAAAATTACAAAAAGGAATTGTGTTAAGTGGAAAAGTGATTTTTAGTAGATTATTTACAAAATCAATAGTTGACAAATGTTTTTTTCACAAAATCAGTACTTTCATATTATTAAAATATATGATAATGCCACTTTAAGATTTTAAATAAATAGTAATACTTTTTTTAGTAATAATAGTTATGCTGTAAATAAACTTATACCAAAATTTATTTTATAACTAGATATGGGTCCGTGCGTTGTACAGGTTTTATTTGTTGCTTTAATGTTTATAAAATATATAAAAATAATAATTCATGTAATAGTTTGAGAGTTTGTTTTGCATATGTTGTGTGAGATTTATTTTAGAAATTAAGAATTTGTTTTCCCTTAAAATTCTGGTTAATATTTATTTTAATCAACACATATTTTATGTGATATTTTAATTTTACAAATAACATAAAATAATAAATTATTTTATATTTTAGAATTATTTTGTATATGTTGTGTGAGATATTTCAGAATTTAAAATTTGTTTACCAATATAAATTGTTGTTAATATTTTTATTTAATAATCATGGCACATAAGTGAATTGTTTTAAACTATATACTTAAGATCAGAGAAAATACTCATACCTAAAAGTTTAAACCAAATCTAATTCAAATTAAGAATTAAAGTGAAATAAAAAAAATTGAAAGTTAAATAAGGTCAATCAAGTTAATAACAATATCATACACATATCATACACTTATTATATACCAATTCAATATTTGTTTTATTTGACGTTAAATATGTTATTATTATTGTTTAAATATATTCTGATATTTATTGGTCATTTTAGTGAAATTTATTGTCACTCTAAGATTTTTTAACTTTTGAAGCATTTATGATCATCAATACACCCTCCGTTTCATATTAAGTGTCGTTGTAGAGAATTTTTGCGTTACAAAATAAGTGACGTTTTCGGTTTTCAATGCAAAATTTATTAATTTTATTATGTAATTTGTTTTTCTATTGGTTAAAATATGGTTAGGTGTATGGGTAACTGTGTTTTTATATATGAAATATGTAAAATTAATTATTTTCTTAATCCGTGTGCACAACTGTAGAGTGACACTTATAATAAAACAGAGGGAGTATTTTTTGGTTATCTGTTTTTAAATTTTTAATTATTCAACCATAGAAATAATTTTGATCATCACTTTTATCATGTAATTAGCGATAAAACACCATCAGTACATATATCTTATAGCCACAATAATTTTAAAATTACTTTTAGTAGTAAAAATCATTTTCTTCATCTTACATAAATAATATTTGAAATAATTATTTTACAAATATTTTTTGTATAGGATTTGAAAAGTGGAAAACAACTATTAAACATTCTTTCATAATTTTCTTATGTTCAAGATTAGAGAAACGCACAATTACTATAAAAGAGTTTTTAATTACATTTTCTTCAAGATTTTGGAAAAGGAAAATTAAAATAAAAAATATATATTTTGCAATTTTTTTTTTGTTAAACTTTTTTAAAAACATGGTTTAGAAAACTTGCTATTAATTTTTTGTAAATTACTTTTAGTAGTAGAAATCATTTTCATCATCTTCGTATATATATATTTTTAATCATGATATATTTTAACATATATAAAAATTTTAAAAGAGAAATTATTATCAAATGATCTTTTTAAGATTTTAGGAAATGTAAATTTTAATAAATAAATTATTTTACAAATATTGTTTTGTTTAGGGTTTGTAAAAAAAGAAAAACTACAATTAAACACTCTTTACTTTATTTTTTAACTTTTAAACCATATTTAAAATTATTATTTGCAAAATTCGTTTTTATGATTTTAAATCTTATTCTTTAGGATTTGTAAAAGGAAAACTACAGTTAAAACGTTTAACTTTTTTAATTTTTTAAAAAACAAAAATTAAATTAGTAAGTAATAAATTATTTTACAATATTTTTTTAGTTTAGGGTTTGTAAAAAAAGAAAAATACAATTAAACACTCTTTACTTTTTTTTTTTACTTTTAAATCATATTTAAAAATATTATTTTCAAAATTCATTTTTATGATTTTAAATCTTTTTCTTTAGGATTTGTAAAAGGAAAACTACGATTAAAAAAACGTTTAACTTTTTTTTAATTTAAAAAAATATTAAAATTAATATCTTCAATATTATTTTTTATTTTCTTAGTATATATATTTTTAATCATAATATATTTTAATTACATCTTATTACTATTACATAATATTTCTAAATTAGTTTTTTAAAAATTCGTTTTTGTCATTATCTAAATAATATATTAAAAGGAAAATTATTATCAAAGCTTTTTTTGGAAATATCTTTTATTTAGGATTTAAAATGGAAAATTACTATTACATAATATTCTAAATTATTTTTTTACAAAATTCGTTTTTGTCATTATCTAAATAATTAAATTTGTATAGATATTAATTATGAAATAATTTAAAACATGTCTCAATCTTAAATATATAATTTCCATGTGTCACAATCTTGTTAATTAGTAACTTTGAAGAACCAAACTTTATATAATAAGATATTATAAGATGTCAATCTATTATTTAAAAGTATATTGAAAAATAAGCTAAGTATTTATAATAAAAAATAAATGTATTTTCAATAAATTTTATTTATTTCACATTTTGTAATAATTAGTTTAGTTATTGATATTTCTTATAATAAAGTAAATATTATATAAAATATTTTAAATACTCTTATATATTGTATTCCACCATTCCAAAGTTTAATTATTCTTTTTACGGTTTAACTATTTTGCTGCGATTCCCTGATGGTTGGACCATCGTTTTGAAATGATTCGAACCTAACAAAACATAACCAAGCCATAAAATTCTATTTCGGTTTAGTTTTAAGACCCAAATCGAAGATAACCCTGACCGGTATTTGATAAACCAGAACGGAATTCAAAAGAGAATATCTAACCCGGAATTGTAACCGTCAATTATCGCCAAGAGAGTACAAAATTTGAAATTCAAAACACTATCGATTCCATTCAACTCGCAGTCATCGCCTCCTTCGTTTCGAAATCCTAAATTCGATAAATCTCTCTCCCTCTCTCTCGCTCTTAGGGTTGTATCCATGAAAGAGGTCAAAGAAGAGACGGCGATGGAGGAGAACCAACGAGTCATGGAGAAGACGATCCCCGTCTTCACTGTGCTTAAAAACGGCGCGATTCTCAAAAACATATTCGTCGTCAACAACAGTCCCGATTCCTTTCCGCCGGAGGTAGAGAAGGAGGAGATTCTCCTCGTCGGTCGGCATCCAGATTGCGATATTCTCCTAACGCATCCAAGCATCAGCAGATTCCACTTGCAGATCCGCTCTCTCCCCTCTCGCCAGCAACTCTTCGTCACCGATCTCTCCTCTGGTACTACCAACCATCTCTCACTCCTCTTCGCTTTCTCATCGATTTGGTTCTGTGTGCGTTTCTTGTTGTTGATTAGTTTTTTTCCGATTTAGTTCATGGGACGTGGGTTAGGGATCAGAAAGTTGAGGCAGATGCTTGTGTTGAGGTGAAGGAAGGTGATGTTATTAGGATTGGTGGTTCAACTAGGATCTATAAGCTGCATTGGATTCCACTGAGCCGTGCCTATGATACCGACAATCCATTTGTTTCACCATCTATACCGATGGAACAAGATGAAGAGAATAGAATACTTGAAGCAGAAGAAAATATAGTGGTTAAACATCAGGTTCGACCTTCTCTCATATTAGCTTTTTCCCAAGTCCTTAACTGCACTGAAACTTTATTGTTTGTCTTGGCTCATGTTATTTCTTTGCGTGGATGTGTAATCTTGCTTATATTTGCAGTCACTAGCGGATACTGCTGCGTCAGGTGATGATGGAGATGGACATTTGAATGTGACGTCTGAAGGAAGTGGTTCATCAGTCCCTAGTGAGGATGAGGATACATATAATACAACAAGGGAGGTTTTGTTGCAAGTTGCACCTTCAAGTGTTTCGTCACTACCTAGAGATTCTGTTTATACAGAAGAGATTCAATCCAATGAAGATTTGCAGACTTCATCAAAGTGGGAGTTGGATGTTGAAGAAGCTGCAGCTGAAATGCCAGTTAGCAGCTGCGGTTCAAGGAAGCAACAGAGTGATAGCTACCAGGAGGCCTTGGCTTGTTCTGAACCTGAAGCTCCTGCAGGGGATGATGAATGGGATGTCAGAGGAGACGGTGGTCTGCTTCTGGATGTGATGTCAGAGATGATAGAGTCATCAGTCCCTGATGGGGAGGAGGATCCATATCTAGATCTAAAGGAGACTTCATCGCTTCCACTCCCACAAGATTCCACTGAGACAGAAGTTCTACAGCTCACGGATGTTGTCCAGGCTTCACCAGAGTTGACTGTAAATATTATAGAAGCCAACACAGAAAACTCAAGTAGCTGCATCTTTGAAGACTCAGGTTGTGCTTATTTTGAATTGGCTACAGAGGCTGACACTTTGAGCCTTTGTCAAGAAGTCTGTGGTGAAAATGAGTGTGACGCCAAGCAAGTGATGGAAGTATATGCTGAACCAATAACTGAGGCTGAAAATCAGATTCACGTAGACAATGGAGTTACTGAGGTCTCTAGGCCAGTTATTGAAGTATTTTCCTCTCCTCAAAATAAGCCAAAGTTAATAGCAGATGCCCGAGGCCACCTAGACTCTGAAGTAGCTTTGGAGACTAATAGTCAGAACCTACATAAAGAAAGCAACAGAGAGACAAGGATCAGTTCAAGCGAAGTCAGTATAGTATCTAATTGTTTGTGCGCTGGCAAGACAGAAGATATCCAAGGTCTTTGGTCGAGTTGGCAGTTACTTCCCGAGAGTGAACTCGGGGATCCATCTGAGATCTTGAGTGAAGTGAACCTTGCAGGAGATGAGAACAAAATATCAGCAATGAGCAGAGAGACTGAAGAATCCAAAACAGAAATGTCATTTGGATCTGGGAAATCTTGCAGCCTAAGTGAAACAGAGGGAGAAGGAAATACTGATAAGGATGATACAAAACCGACTGAAAAACTGCCTTCTGATTGTACTGGAAGTCAAGAAAACCAGAGCCCCCAAAAACCAGCTGATAGATATGAAGTACTGTCTGAGATGGATAGCTCAAGAAGCTCCTCGAGAACATTGAGTACAAGCAATATTTGGTCTAGGAGGGGGAAAGCTGCTTCTGTTCTTCAGGTCCGGACCAACAAGAGTGAAGGAAAGCAAAAACAGATTGGGAAACCAAAAGCCCAGTTGCAGAGGAAACAGGCTCTAAGTGATAAGCCTATTCATCTGGAACTAGAACAAGAGGTCTTTACTCCTGACAAGGAGAATCTGACCCTAAGCAAGAGCTCTTCAAAGGTTTCTGGCAAACCAAGCTCGTCCAAGATTCCTTCCAGTATTATTGTTGCTTCAGCGGCATTCACAGAACCAGAAATCTTTACCCCAGATAAGGAGAATCTTACTCCAAACTCTCATATGCTAAAACGCTTGCAAGAAGTTGGTGATATTAAGGATACTAAAGGTTCCTCCTCTAAGGCAATGCGTAAACCATTCTTTGATGTTCATGTGGAAGAAAACGTGAAACAAGATGTTCACTGCATGAGCAGCAGCTCAAAGGTAGCGCATGAGCCAGTGGCACCAAAGAAGAAAGCTGAACGAACACCTTTTCAACCGCTGCTTGACAAAACTTCGTCCCAGAAGCAATCATACACCGACTCTTTTTCTACTGCAGCAGCACGAAACAACATTTCTGGGGGCGTTCGTTCGTCTTCTGTAAGTCATTATCAATTTAATTGTCTTCGATTCTTTGTGTAGTCCTTATCCTAACCATAAGTTCCCTGTGTTTCTAGAACCTTTCTGATGGTAAGAACAAGATGAAATGGATCATTGTGTTGGACACTTCTTCCCTCCTCAACAAGGAATCTAGGAAGGGATTGAACCTACTACAAGGTCTCAAGGGGACACACATGGTGGTACCAAGAACAGGTAAAAACTTTAAACCCTCTGTCTTTGTTTATTCTTATCATACACTGATAATAATTTATGTCTTCACTTAGCGTCTAAATACAAACAATAAAACTATTTACATTTCTAAACGACAAGGCTGCAAACGCATATGGCAGATGAACCGAGTATACAGATCTGGAAGAATTGTCTCCGTGAAAACATAAGTTCTAGTTGAACTCTTAGGATAAACCAATATGCTTATGCGGCTTAATTTGCTCTGATCTTTCAAATTTATACATCTCATATGAATCAGTGACTTCTTGACAATATTTCTCCTATTAGAAACATAGTAATATTTCGTGTCATTGTTCAGTGTTAAGGGAACTAAATGAGAAGAAACGAGCTCGCTGTCTTCTGTTTGGAAGAACGGCAGAGATGGCTTCCTCAGCTCTGGACTGGATCGAAGAATGTAAAGTTAATACCAAATGGTGGATTCAACTCCAAAGCCCATCAGAGGAAACTAAAGCTACTGCACCAACACCACCAGTCACTCCTCAGTCAAAGGGATCTGCATTTCCGTTTTCACTTGACTGGAATAGTTATGCACCGGTGATCGATTCTCCGACATCAGAAGATCAAGTTCTCGAATGTGCACTTCTTTACAGAAACCGTAACATAGATGAAAAAGTCATTCTTCTTAGCCACGATGTAACTCTCAAGATCAAAGCCATGGCAGAGGTAATTTATTAATCTGTATTAAGTATTTTTATAAACAAAGCAATTCTGTGTAATAATGACGACTTGGTTTTGGGTTCAGGGTGTAATTTGCGAGACGGCAAATGAGTTCTACGAGAGTCTGAAGAATCCGTTTTCGGAGAGGTTTATGTGGCCAGAGAGTGTGCCGAGAGGAAGGACTTGGAGTCAAGCAGACGACACCGTGTTGGGAGAAGGGTACGACAACAGAAAGCTAACGTTCAAGGGAGGAAGAAGAGGAGAGAGTGGTGCAACAGCAGCAAAAGGCTTGAAGCTCATACTGCTCCATAACTCTCACTATGGTCACATTCGTTGATGCATATCTTTTTTGCGTTAGCAAATTTCATGTAAGCCAAACCAATTCGACTCTGCTTACATATGGGATAATCTCTTCTTAGAGTAATGACATTTTCATATCATCATGACTTTTCCTTGTTGTGGAACTACATTGGTCTTGGTCTTCCAGCTATTGGATTAATCGTTAAGCTTAAATATATACTATTTAGTTTGGGAGTGTGCTCTGAAAATAATCACCGATTTACTGTTAAAAACCTTTGCGGTTGTAATTCTATACCATTTTTTTTTTTAAATAAAAAATAGCACGACAAATTTTATACCAATAACAAAAATTTGTCAAATTTTTATACGCAGAACCCACATTATTAGTAGTATTATTTTGTCGCCAATATATTCTTGGTAAAATGCAAAACACAATACAAATCTAGCAAACCCACGTGTGCGATCTAACAACCACACCGTTGTACATTTATACGAAGATAAAAACCACGTGTAATATATATGACGATGACGATTCCAACGAGAATATGCCTTTTTGTCAAATACTGGACCTTGTACTGTACATGTTTTATTTGTAGTTTTGTACAAAGGGAGAATTATTAAAATAAGCTAAATTTTATCTTAAAGTTAAAAATAGAGGCCGAATATTATGTAATTAAAATACTGTAAATAATTTTCTAAGAGAATGTATATTTAAAATATCACACATAAAAAAATCATGATTTTATTTTATTAAATAAGATAAAAAAGGAAAGCTACCAAACATATTTAAACTTTTATGTCATAGCTTGTGGTACTACTTTAATCATGGACCACGTCAAATCCTATGGTTTCACAGAATTAGCAAAGGACAGATCTAAGAAATGGAAGAAGAGTTGGGAAACTTAAGGAAGGTATGGATCTATGCCTTGATATCCATCTCTTACTGTTATTTCATATCATCTAGAATCTCTAAAGGTGTTTTTCGTCTCATCTCTATAATTCCAGTATGCATTCTGTTTCTTGTTCTTCCTCTGTTCCTCTCTTCTTTCCACTTTATCGGCAGTTCAACTCTTTTCCTCTCATGGCTAGCAAATTTCAATCTTCTTCTCTTTGCTTTTGATCAAGGACCTTTATGTCCACTTCCCTCAAATCTATGCCGTTTCTTCTGCTTTGCTTGTTTCCCCATAAAAGTCAGACAAGATCCTTCTCAAAATGCCATCCCAAGTCGTTATTGTAATAATGAGCCAATGCCTAAATGGGTTTTGGCTGTCAAGGTTTTGGTCTTTGGCCTCGTGTTACATATCTATGAATACAAGGACGTTTTGCCTTGGTTTGTTGTTTTGGCTCTATATTGTCTCCATATTTACCTTGAGGTGGAACTTGTTTTGGTGTTTGTCGGGGCAGTTGTATCTACTTTCCTCGGCTGTGACATTGAGCCGGTTTTCAACGAGCCATACCTAGCCACCTCTCTACAGGACTTCTGGAGCCGCAGATGGAACCTTATGGTTTCAGCTGTCTTACGCTCAGCCGTTCACATTCCGGTTCAGCGTTTTTTCACACGCTTATTCAGTCCAAACACAGCCGTGCTTGTCGGGGTCATGGCCTCGTTTCTTGTCTCCGGACTGATGCATGAGTTGATCTACTTTTACGCCATCCGTCTGCCTCCAACTTGGGAGGTAACTTGTTTCTTTATGTTGCACGGTGTTGCCACTACTACAGAGATAGCGGTGAAGAGAAAAATTCGGTGGAGACCACCGTACCGGGTTGTTTCGGGTCTCGCGGTTATGGCGTTTGTGAGCGTGACAGGCGTTTGGCTCTTCCTTCCTCAACTGCTGCGGAACAATGTTCATGAGAGAGCAACTAGTGAATGTTTGTTGGTTATTGAATTTGTCAAGCGCAAGTTGTTCATTTCTTCTTCATGATCCTTTGTTGTTTTTTTTTTTTTTTCATATACAAGGACTATTCAATTTTTGAAAACGTACTTGGAAGTGTGAGACACGTTGTGCAGTTCAGCCCTACATTGCCAGTTTTTATAGCATGGTTCCCAAAGTTTTTTTTTTTTTTTTATTAGAACTCCAAATCGGACTAGAGTAGTGGAAAAAAAAACCTCAAACACCAAGATAAACCGACAAAATAAAGAAGGCACCGAGCATAAAATAAGGACAGGTAAGGCAAATAACATCCACTCCTTTTTTTTTTGTCACACCCACTCCTTATCCTTGTCTATCAGCTTCAAAGATCTCCACCAGCCAACTGGGCACACCAAGAGCAACATATGACTGGTAACGCATCTCACTCGTAACACTCTTTGCGATCGCTTTTGCACACCGGTTCCCCCTGTTAGAAACAACCATATAATTCCACTCCTGGAAGATGCCTAGAGCTTTTCTCAATTCCACACTATAATATCTGAAAGCAGGTCATGCTCTTGGCCTAGTCACCGCACCAAAGAGATCCGCAAATTCCGTTTCGAAGACAACATTTTCCACATGATGACTTCGCACTGATTCAATAGCCTAAATCAAGGAGATGAATTTTGCTTCCAAAAAAAGTGTCTACGTTCCCAAACGCTCTTCTACTATGAAGTAAAGTTTCCCCTCTGCAGTTCCTCAAAACCCAAGATGCTCCAAGGATCTTCTTTTGTTTGGATCACTGCAAACCTACATTACATTTCACAAAACCCCGACTTGGTGCCTCCCACTTACATTTACCACGTTCCTCTATGTTTCCAGTTTCCACCTCTTCATCCAGACGTTCCTGAGCATCAAACCAATGACTAGAATCCTCAATAATCTTTGCCACCGTATCAATCACTGCGAACTCCTTTCCTTCAAACCAGAACAGGTTTCTGTTTTTCCATATGGTCCATTGAATCCAGAGGAAACTACGTGCGATTTCCTCAGGGACTTTTAAAGCACTTGGCAAAAAGAGAAGATAGCTAAAATCCTCAAACATAGTCATGTTCTCAAAACCACGTCGCGGGAAAGGAAGTTTAACTGAGCCCATACCAGCCTAGCCGCAGAACAAGTGAAAAGCACATGGTCAATAGATTCACCTTCCATGCCACATCTTTGACATCTTGAATCTAATTTCAGGTATTAATTTAATTCAGTAAAATAATTTTATTTTAGCAAAAAAAAATAGATATTTTTCTTAGTAGCATTTTATTTTGGTTCCTTAATGAATACTATAATAAACCACGTAAGAAGCTGTTACAATAAAAACCAAAACCTTGTTTTCCACCTCCTGGAGTTGAAATAGCTTCTCATTAAAGTTGCAATCTCTAATGCTGAATCTACTTAACAATGTATCTAGCTGTCAAATCAAATTTCCCTAATTTTATATTAATAACGTGCATGATTCATCTGGTAATGTAAAACATATAATAACCAAACCAGAAGTTAAGTCAAAGCCTCGGTGATCGCAAAAAAAAAAAAAAAAAAAAAAACCAAAAAA